GATGTTTAGGGAAGAGAATGTTGACGATGTTTAGGGAAGGAAATGTTGATGATGTTTTTATTATTAGGGGACCAGGATCATCATATACACATGGAAGGATATCAAGTTTCAAACCAGTGTATGGCTCTGGTCGGAGATAACTGTCTTGTTCCTACCAAAGATGCTCCGGAACTTGGCTACGTGAGAGAGAGTAGTAATGAACAGTATGTTCCCGATGTGTTCTATAAGGTGCAGTTGCTTTTATATGTCAAGAAAAATTTTAGATACACTATTGTTAAAAGACACGGGCCAAACTTACATTGTTAAAAATTAGGAGACTGAGTGTATTTGGTAGTGAGGCTGCAGCAGCCGTGTGATTCGTCATGTGTCTAGTTTTGGAATATAAAATACTATCTATTTCACGTGAAACTCGAGGGAAAAACTGAAATGTGATTTAATACTTGAACTTGTGATTTATTGCTCCACATTGTTTTAGTATTAATTTTTTCAGTTCAAAAAGGATAACATATATTGGAATTCCTGATAGTGACACATGCTGACTTGTGTGTTGAATTTACACAGTGTTTACTTTTATTGTCATCATAGTTGTATTGTTGGAATAATCATGGGTCAGCTGTGTAAATGTTGCTGGAAATAACCTGTGTGATACTTTATACTTCAGGATAAAGACAGCTATGGGAATGAAGTGACACAATTAGCGAGGCCTCTTCCTATCGAATATCTACTTGTGGACGTCCCAGCCTCCACACCAATGGAACCACAATACACCTTCCATATTGACGTTGGTGTTAAGTTATTTCCCATAGAAAACAGGCTTCTTGATGGTCATATACAGGTAGGTTGATTCTGGTTTCATCCAGTTTCAAATGTCCTCGGCCGTTATGATGTTTGAGACATTTCATTAAAAGTGTATAATCAGTGCTCTGCCATTTTTAGAAATTGTATTTAGTCTTGGCTGTGTGGGTTTTTTGTATGTTGTTGTTAACTTAAAGAAATTTGTTCTAAAAATGTAATTTTGTAAAACATCGTACTCAAGAAATTCAACCTATTTCTATTTCAGGATTTTAATGCCTTATCCAGCTATATACGTCAGTTTAGTCCAGACAAATTTCTAGAAACTATGTCAGATTTTCATGTCTTGGTTTACATTGCTACTATGGACACTTTACCTCTCAAGGTCAGTAAAATGTTAAACTTTAAACAACGTTTGAGTTAATTTCTAATTATAATTCTGGTAATAAAAACATAAGTTTGAGGGTGTCCGTATTAATGGGGCACTAGAAATGAAGTTCTCGCCCACACAAATAAATTACAACAGAGTTTAACAAAAATTTAAATGATACAGTTAACTCTAGGTGAGATGGTAGGAATCACTGAAATTAGGTTAACAATTATAAAGACTATTAACAAAAGATGGGCTTTTTGATAAAATAGTAGTAATAAAAATGGTTTTACCTTTTTAAATAAAAAATATATATAATTATAACCTGAACTCACATTCTCTTTTCTAAACTTTGTAACAGATTCATTTAGGGGCAGAAATATTTCTTTTACTTTAAATATAAAAAAACAACAACAATACAATTTGTAATGTCGAGTAACAATAGATATTAATAACACAGTTACTACAGTTTATTTTTGAAAACGTATTTCTTTGATAGGATGCTTTAGATCCTTTACTAGAAGCCATCCGAGCCAAGAATCGTGAATTGGCCAGTCACTGGTCTCGGAGTGAGCAGTGGGCCACTGTGGAACAGCTTATTGCAGCTCAATGTAAGTAGAACCTGTGTGTATGTTGATGGGATCCACCTGTCAGTTTGTCTTCAGAATAAAAGGTGGTCTTTAGTACAGTTATTAGCTGTGTCTGTTCACACCTTCAGTGTCTTTACAACAATTAGTATCTCTGTCTGTTCACACCTTCAGTGTCTTTACAACAATTAGTATCTCTGTCTGTTCACACCTTCATTGTCTTTATTCCAATTAGTAGCTGTGTCTGTTCACATCTTCAGTGTCTTTACAACAATTAGTATCTCTGTCTG